GGGGGGGGGGGGGGTGAAGGGTGATGAGCACCCGCGGCGTGTTGTGCAGGTGTGGGTGCGATGACGGCCACGTGACGGTCATGTGTGTGTCTGAAAAGGGCAGCGGCTGCAGGCCAGCCAGGTGCTTGGCTATCGACGTCTTGCCAACTGCACACCACACACACACACACAAACCCAGACATCCACCCACATAGACACACACATGTGTATGCGTCTTACCTCCTGACGGCCCGTCCAGCCAGAGCAGGTCGCCCGCTTTGAGCTCGATGCGCACCGACTCGTTCACAAAGGGACACGGACGCTTCTTGCCGCCAATCTGTTGGTTGATTCGTTCGTTCACACACACACATACAGATGTGAGCAGGCAGGAAGACGCCAATCGCCGTCAATCAGGAGGACGCCCCTCCACACGCACCAGTGATCGCAGGAAGCCTTCCTTGTCACAGGAGCCCTCTGTCCTGACCACCTCAGCCTTGACCAAATAGTGGTACCCAGCTGTCAGTCACATCAAACAAACATACACACGTACAGTTTTGTCCGTCCATCCACCGATATCGACGATGCCATGGACCGATGGATTGCTTGCGCCTGCCCACCCACCCCACTCACTGACCTGCCCGTGCGGACGGCCCGGCAGACCTCTCAGCTTCTCCTATCTCTCGCCGCCGTTGCCTACACACACACACAGATCCCACACACACAAGGTGCCGATCGGGCTGCCTGCCTGCCCCGCTGCTCAGATCAGACCTGCCCTCAGTGCTTGCAGCCGATGCGGGTGAGGCCGTGAGCTCAGCCTCGTTGTCCATGACAACCATAACTGTCGACTGCTGGTCGTTCTCTCGCGCCTCGTCGTCGGTTGCGTCGTCGCTGCGGGGCGCTGGCGGGGTGCTCGTCGGCGTCAGAGAGGGTGCCATCACCCGCTCTGATCAGACAGACATCACAAACACCAAACACCCACACAGCTCACTGAGCTGAGGGATCTCGCGGACAACCCCACGTGGCTCTCGGCCGCTCTGGCTGTCTTGCTGGTGCTGCCTGACCGTGTCGTGTGTGTGCCGCGTGTATGGCTGGTCTGTCTGCCCTCGACGGCGAGGTCTCGCGGGGCTGTGTTCTCACCTGCAGATGACGACCCCGCTGGTGATCTCTTGCTGGCCGACGTCGTGGCGCTGCTGCTTCTGGTCAACTTGGTGCCTAATGAACGCCTCTTACAGCCTTCTCTGACCTTCGATCCGGTGTGAGCTGAGCTCGCAGTTCAAGCTCGCAGAAATCGCTGAGGCTGCTGCTAGCGACGCGAGAGCAATGGCTGGAGATGCAATGGCTGGAGATGCTCCTGTGTGACCTGCAGATCAGATCTTTTTTTCGATAAAGATGGGATCGGCTGGAAGGCAGCCTCCTTCCGAGAGGATCTATGTTTGCTACTAGCTGAGTCTACTTCTGTCAATCGCGATGTATGGCGTATTCGGGCAGCATATATTTTATACATATTTAGGCAGCTCACCATCCTCAGCTGGGGCTTGGCAGCAGCATATGCTGTGAGTGCGCCATCCGCCTCGCGCCAGGCAGGGCCTGCGTTCCTGGCGCTGTTGCCTCGTCAGCCGTCCATCGCCACGGCACATCGGAGTGGTCTGACCCGGGAGATCCGGCGAATACACAAGGGCGAGGTCGCCTCTCTCCTCAGGGCGGCGCGTGTGAGTCGAATGTTGCTTCGCTTCACGAGTGGGTCCTCTCATGCCTTGTGTGTCACCGTGTGTGTGTCAGGTGGACAAGGCTAAGGCGTTTGAGACCGTCGCGACTGTCGAGCGAGTGAGTGTGTGAACGACGCCAACCGGCACATAAGACAGTCGCGTTGATTGAGATGATTGACCTTTCTGTCTTCGCAGGTGGCGGTGCCCGAGTATCTTGTTAAGAAGGAGGTGGCCAGAATTGAGAAGGCCCTCGCGCCTCTGGTGGAGCTACGTGCCAAAGTGATGGGCATGGCGCGGACCGAGGGGTACAAAGACGGACAAACATGGAATCGATGATGATTGTGCGGAATGAATGCCCTTTGATTGACTGACTGATGTGTGTGTGTGTGCAGGTTTGATGCTGTTGAGGTGCAGAAGGCGTACAACCAGTTCACAGATGCGATGGAAAGGAACCGTTTCGATCTGCTGAAATGTGAGAAGTCGCTCACCAGACGGCACATCCACTCATTGACGGGGGTCACTGTGTGTGCACGTGTGTGTCGGTGTGTGTGTCGGGGTGTTAGACCTAGACATGGTGTCCTGCGCCGCAGAATACAGAGGCACACACACACGCACGCAACTGCAGACACACGTGCGCTTGTTATCTCCCTGTGTACCTTTGTGGTTTTCCACACAGAGAACGATAATGTCAAGTTCGATCCGGAGATCATCATGCTGGCGGTGAGTCTCGTTCCTGGCGCACGACTCAAAGACGTCATTGCAAAGGGCGAGTAGATTCCTGCCGCCACCGCTCACCACACACCGACAGTAAGCGCAGAACGACAGACAGACAGACAGACAGACAGAGAGTGTGTGCGATGGAGGTGTGTATGTCAGTGTGCGAGCGGGTGTCGGTCGGTCCGTCATGTGTATGTGGACATATTGTATGTAACATATATCGTGCACTGCACCTGCCTGCCCGCCAAAGGAACCATGCATTAGTATGTAATGTGCGGCCCGCACACTGCTCGACTTGAGAATTTTCTGTATGGATCGATGTTTCTCCAAGTTCTTACCACCCCATCAGACCGACCTGTGGGGCTCATGATACAACGATTCGTTGTACGTGGGAGCGAGAACACACTCTCTCTCACAGGGCTACCGCTTTTCGACCACCATTAGAGGCGTGTTGTGGCGAGAGAGGCCCGCGGCCTGCCGGTAAACATTGTGGCCGCTTGTTCACCTCCAGAATGTCTGTGAGTGACCTTTCCCGCCGGCCCTTGTCGTGTGGTTTGTGGGTGTTCACCCACATATATAGGCACTCGCGGAGACGCGCCTGATCTGTGTGTGTCCGCGTGGCCGGATGGTGGATAGATGGATTGGTACGTGCATGTGTCTTTGTGAGTGTCCGTCTGGTTTGCACACACGAATGAGTGACTTCCCATTGAAGAAGTGAGAGAGACGCAAGTGGAAAGGTGCCGCCGGTCAGGAAAATGCCAGTTCACTCCAGGAATGTCCGTCGGTCCGTCATGATCACGGCGCACACAGACAGACACACTCCACCACACAGTCATTGAGAGAGAGAGAGGCATGGCAGGCCAGTGAGTCAGCCAGGCAGCCACACACAGTCACACATTGGCCGAGCCATCACACTAAAATCGGCCGGCAGATAGGATGACCGCCCCGACACACCCACCCCCACAGGCAGCCAGCCGGCCATGAGGACGGGTGGATGTCTCCTTCACGCAGACACACAGAGGGAGGGAGGGAGGGCTACACATAAGGAGGAGCGACACACAGGCAAAAAGGGAAAGCCATAGACCGACTGAACTCACGCACCCAGCAGAGGCATGGAACTCTTGACCACACACACAGCCATTGGGTCACATTTTAGCAGCTGGTCTGTCTGTCGACAGAGTGAGTGGTGTGCGATGTCTCTTGTGCACACACAGATCGGCGACAGAGATAACGACAGCCAGCAACCAACAGATACCCTCCTGATGACACACAGACACGCAAGCAAGGGCGAGATTCAGTCAGATGACAGAGGATGTGCATCGCTGCTCACCCGACACTTTGACGGATCGATCAGCCGCCGCTATCCGCCTCAGCTGCGCCATCCTCACCTGTCGAAGGGACAGGACACACACACAAGTGAGAGTCATCCAGGTCGACGTGAGGGCATCTGTGCTGTGGTGTGTGACTGTGTACCTCCGTCGCCCTCTCCACTGCCGTCATCCATATTGTTACCCTCATCGTCATTCTCGTCGTCGGAATCTGCAGACCACACACAGAGAGAAAGACAGAAGGCACGTCATCCATCCATCCATCCATCCATCTGTGTGTGTGTCCGTACCATCGTCGCTATCATCATCATCATCATCCTGCTGCTGCTGCTGCTGTTGTTGTACTTGTCCGTCGAAGACATATGGCGCCACCGCCCCCAGCGCCACACGAGCCAGCTGAGTGATCACCGGGAAGCGTTGCTTGAAGGGACTACTCTCACACGCAGCCGCCTCAGTGGTGAAGACCCTAACAGCCACTGGACACAAGGGGAAGAAGACTTACGACGTATGACATGCACAGCTCCCTCTCTATCACTCTGACCGTCGTTGTTGCCTAATCCCCTGATGTTAATCCATGCGACGAAGGGGTGGCTGCCGTTGGTGAGGACCAGCAATCGCTCATTGTCGTCCCGCCCCATTGTGGCGGTGCAGTCGGTCACCGATGTGTGGGGCGACTCGGTCAGCAGGCCATCCAAACGGCCGCCACCGACAACCCTTAAGCAGCCAACCGCACACACAACCAACGGCTTTCCTCTCTTGCCACTGGTGCCATCGGCGTGTCACCTGTTGAGTGTCATCGATATGTCATTGAACTGGTAAGAAAGGTAGAAGTGGTAGAGGATCATGAACTTGGCAAATGACGACACTGACGCATGGGTGCGCTCATTGAAGGCCGACGACCATCCGTCCTCGCCCCAGTAGTAGATGCTGCTGCTGTTCACTGGTGGGTCGTGTGGCTGCCGGTGCTGCTGGTACAGGTGGCCGGCAGGGAGGGGCGGGTCAACCTCCAACTCGAAGCCGGGCTGGTCGATGATGGCCCGCCACTCACCACCATTGTGTTGGACCAGATGGAGGCAGGTGTCGTTATCGAAAAGGACGTGGCGGCCGACCATCTTGAGCTGCGCCAACATACGGGGAGCCGACACATAGGCCTACACACAGAACCACACACACAGACACACAGACAGAGAGAATGAGGCCGTCTCCCTCCCCTCCCCGCCCCTCTGTTTGCTGGCTCGCCGTTTTCTTTGTGTGTGTGTTGATGTCATCGGCTGTGAGGATGACAGGCAGGTCACAGCTGCCGCACTGCCCCGCCAGCTCAATCACCTCGGCCATCTCGCCCCATGGCCCCTCCTCCACCACACACACAGCCGCCAGCAGATCATGTGTTCCGAACTGGTCGTCGTCGAACCGCAGCAGCTGCACTTGCTGCCCATTCACCGCCCGTCGCAGCCCCGCCTGTGAGCCCAGCGAGTGGCGGAGCCGATCTCTCAGCTGGGCCGCTCCGAAGAGATCTCTGAGCCACGTGCAGGTAGCCCTCAGCCGCAGAATGTCCTTGATGCTGCTGAAGAGGTAGAAGGTGCGGCGGCCGACGAAGATATACGAGAAGGGGTGCTGCTGCTGCTGCTGCTGCTCTGGTTGCTGCATCTGGGTAGCTATGATGTGCTCGACGACAGCCTGCACAGAGCGACAGAGCCGACAGAGGATCGTGTGCATCAAGCATGCTGCTCATTGATCTGTGTGCTCACCTCGTTCGATGCTCAGATGGACAGATCAGCAGGCAGAGAACTGAATGCACCACCACCACCACCACCTTTACCACCACCAGCAGCAGCGGCAGATGAGGAGGCCGCCATCACTCCTCAACGACACGCCTGAAGCGATGGGCCGACAGACACAGAGAGAGAGAGAGATGCCAGCAGAAAAGGACGGCCAACGCATTGAGGCCAATGGATCAGTGAGCGCCTCAGTGAGTCAGTCAGTGAGTGGTCGGCCTCCCTCACCTCCGATATCTCTAAGGAATCACTATAGTCCGCTGCAGTCTGGATGCGAGGACACACGAGACAGCTCTCGGCCCCGGTCTCCCTCTCTCTCTGGGGTTAAAGGGTAACAAACCCTTTGACCCCAAACCCTGGGAACACACGAGATCTCTCTATACTCCACTACTTTTCAAGCTCGCCCACCACCCACAGATCACCCCCGTCTTTTCGGGTTAGACGCTGCGGGAAATTCCCGCGCTGCCTGTGCTCGAGAGCTGAGGTCCGGGGAGGCGCGGTTGCGGAGATATGAGCGGAAATGCGTTTCGCGCGCGGAGCAGTCAACTCCCGCCCAGGACCACATAGCGCAGCGGTTGAGGCGTGCAGCAGGAGTAAAGGAAGTCGCGGGTTCGAACCGCAGAGGGGTCCTGTATTCAGCCCGCTTAGGGCGACTCGGAGGCACGGGTCAGCACGGGTCAGCTCCCGAATACAGCTTTCCAGAACGCCCGCGGTGCGCGGGGCAAACTCTATGTCAGGATTGCCAGCTTGGCAAGACGAATCACTGCGAGCTTGTGAGCTAGGGTATATTGCTGTGTAACGGGTGGAGAGAGAAGAAGACAAGGAAAGACAAGGAAAGCAAGCATTCTGAGGAGACACGATCTTATCAGCCATCACCGAAGTGAGATCTGTGTTGACCACCCTTCATGATGCCATACATGGACAGAAACAACTTTGACTGACTGGTCAGTCCATCGGTCTTACTAAAGCAAAAACACTCTTACTGGGACTTACCGCCCAGCAGATCCTCTATTCAGCTAACTACAAGAAAGGTCCTCACCGGCATTTTTCGCACATGGGCGCAGCAACTTGGTTCTTGCTTATCTAAGCCGAAGTCTTCGCCAGCTAACTGACAGATCCTAACAGGTCTATCAGTGTCTTGCGCAGTATCAGCAGCAGTCAACTACTAGCAGTACTTGAAGAAAGACAACAACAACATCA